TTTTTTTTTCCCTTCTTCTTCCTTCTCTTCTAAAATAAATGTAATAGAAATAAGCATCACTCTGAGCCCCCAGAGGGGACACTTATGTGAGTGTAAGTGTTGCTATAGCCCCTGTTTTTGCAAGTGCCTTTTTAACTGGTGTTTCAGTGACTCAGCTGGGAAATCCCAGCTCCTGCATAAACCAAATCACCAAACTTTCCAGCGGGGCCATAATAGACTGAGATGCTAGATGGAATGGGCACAGAGGGAAGCTGAAAGCAGATATCATCATTAAACTGCATATATTCTGTGGTCAAACAAGCCCTAGCTCAGCAGAGCCTTTTCACCTCAAGGCATTATTGTGACATAAATCACTGAATCAGGGATCACACAGTATTTTAGAAGAAAGTTTACTTATGTGATACATGCAGTTCTGTGCATTAATTTCTTCCCTGGAAGAGACCCTTGCATTATGCCCAGGCAGTTTGTCATATTTGTCATTTTTTGCTATGAAAATCCACCTTGCCTTACTCTCTCTTGTGCAAAGAAATGTATGGACTGTTTAGCTAAAAGATAAAGAACTATTTTATTATTTCAGCAGATGCTCTTTTTTTGTGCCCAGTCTCCCTCTGGAGTAACACAGCGTGCTATGAGTTCAAACATCTGGAGTGTGGAAAGTTAGCTCTGATACTCTGAAAGTCATACTCTGATAAAAATGTAGCCCACAAGTCTACCAAAGCCTCCAAGTGCCTCCTGTGCGGGAAACAAACTTCATGGTGTAATAACTGGAGACCATTTGTTAGAAAATGGGTTGATAATTCGCTCTGGGAGTGAGGGGTGTTGCTGGTGTTGCTCAGGAAAGTGTTTTGAGCCAATTATATCTCCCTTAATTTCAGCTTTGTTGTTTCATTTCTGTAATGGGCATCTTGGTCTTTAAAAATTTCCTCCTGTTAATAGCTGGGCCTGCTGCCTGAGTCTTTCTTTCTTCAATAAGAGATTTAATTAAAAGAAAAAGCTGTCAGGAGGATCTAAATACAAATCACAAAATTATTTTTAAAATTTGACGTAGTAATTCAGACTGCGGGGGATTTTTTGTGTTTAGTTTTGTTTTTAAACCAACATTTCTGGTGAAATGCTGCAGGGCTGCAGGGGTTTTATCCTGCCCACAGCCCTGTAACAGTCTGCACTCTTATTTCACCATTTGCCTGGTGCTGCTTCTGCCTCCCAGACCCACTGTCCGACTGCACTCCATTGCAGTGTTATTATTTTTGATTTGCTCTGCAGTGATTCCTAGAGGCTCCAGCCAGGAATCTGCAACTGTGAGGCTGCATTCAGTGTCCACATGTATTGAGATGATCTCTGCATTGCATATTCACAGTCAAAAAATTCATAATGCAAATGACAAAAGACTGTGCAAACCGCAGCAGTGGTTCAGCCTGAGGTCCATGGTGTCCAGCATTTTGCCTCGTGCTGGGGCCATAAATAAGATGCCCGGCAAAGGGAAGGAAAAGAGCAAAGAAAGACTTCTTTCCCAGGCCTCCCAGCCACCAGCAGTTAATGTTAAGCCCAAGGAATTTCCTTTTCTCTCTTCTTTTCAAGGCCAGGTTGGATGGGGCATTGAGCAGCCTGGTCCACTGGAAGGTGTCCCTGCCCATGGCAGGGGGGTGGAACAAGGTGATCTTTAAGGTCCCTTCCAACCCAACCATTCTGTGATTCTGCAGCCCCCAATGGGTCTTACAAATGCTCTTCCATCTCCCCTTGAATCTCCTCAATCAGCTTCTTGGCCCTGCAGTGCAGGGAGAGCTGCACAGCTCTGGACTCCGGTCCATGGGGATTCTGGACCAGGCTCCTGTCCAGCTTCCCTTGGTGTCTCCCAGTCCTGCTGTTGGGACAGACAAGCAGTGCCCAGTCCTCAGGTGACCTCAGGACATGTTGGAGACTGATGTCCACAACAAGCTGCAGCATCCTTCTCTTGGTCCTTGTGTGGCAGCTGCTCCAGGCTTTGATCATCCTGCTAGCATTTCTCAGAAGCTTTTCCAGTGGTTTTTGGGGTTTTTTTTTCCCCTTTTAATTTTAGAACAGAAGAGTTTCAATCCCTGTTTTTGCTCTTCAGTCAAATTAATGTCAGTGTTATTCCAAGCTTGGAAATATTTTTGGGAAAAGACTTTATTAAGTTTCTCCAGTTCACATGTTCTGCTACAAAAAAGGGTTTGGTATTCAGCAACTGGCAATGTTCATTAACAGCTACATTTATTTTTCTTTTCTTTTTCTCTTTTTTTTCTATGTTTGCTTGTTTTTGTTTTGTTTTCAACTCATTTATCTTCTTTCACACTCCTGAAGGCCTTCAAACCTGAACAGGAAAATAAACAGATTGAAGTGAAAAGCACTGGATATTATTTTTTTGTTTGTTTTTAAAGGCTTTGGGTGCTCTGAACTCATTAAATCAATACTTTTGTAACTCCTGCTGTGTGTTGAGATAGATACCAGTAGAAAGTATAGCACTTGTTTGATATTTTTTGTCATGTTCAGCTTTATTAGTAGCTCCAATGGGAGCAGCTTTTGCCTTTTGTCTCTCTGCCCAGCTCACCCTCCAGACACTTGCAAAAGAAATACCTTTATAATTGTTCTTCTTTTTCCTGTCATCTGTCTGTCTCCATTTGCTCAGACAAATAAGTGATAAACAGGAATGATGATCTGTTTAACACCACAGGAAGAAGGATGCATTATGAGGCAAGAGAGACCTCTTGTTTACAGCAAGTTATTTTTGGTAATTAGCCATTTGTAGAGGAAGATGAGCCTCTGCTCGTAAAGTCAGCGTGCCATAATTTAGGGGACTCTGAATGGAAATCTAACATTTGCCTCAATTGGAAATGGTAATTGTGTGCATTTAGAAATAAATAAATGGCTGTTTTTCTCTTTGCAGGAAGCAGACTGAACAAAGATCTGCGGCACTATCTCAACCAGAGGTTTCAGAAGGGGTCGCCGGATCACGATTTGCAGCAGACCATTCGGGACAACCTTTATCGCCATGCTGTGCCTTGTAAGTGACAAAACCTCCACCTGCTGGACCACCTGTGTGGGAGAATTTCACCTTTATTTGGGGGCAGCCTTCCTGTGGTGGTGTGCATGGCTGTGGGGGAGACTCTTCTCATTTTGGGCAGACTTCCATGAGTGACAGCAGAAAGGGTTGAAAAGGAAAATGATTCATCTCTGAATGAGGCTTTTTTGATTACCTTTTTGGAGCAGTTGATGGTGTGATGCAAGCCTTGTGATGCCTGCTTTGGAGAAAAACCCTAAAAAAAACCTGCCATGAAGTGGTTGCTTGGCTTAGAAATAGTCAATGTTAATATCACAGTGGTGAATGTTGCTTATTGGTTCAAAACCTATGAATAAAATAGTGGCTTCTATTTTTATTTCCTGAGCAGAACTTTATTTCTGATGCTTATTTAACTTGTAGAATTGAACAGCATTTTATGGCTGGGTGCCACTGTTGAAGGCATCTGCCACTGTTAGAAGGTCATCCTCGATTCATGTAGGAGAAAAGCAACAAAAGTTAGCAAAGCAGAGAAAGAAATGCTCATTTTCACTCAAAAAACCCTAACCAAACCAGAAAAAAATCCAAAACAAAAGACCCCAAACAAACAAAAAAAAATCAAAAACAACAACAACAACAAAAGAACCAACCAAAAAAACCCAAAAAACAAAACCCAAAAAACAACCAGAAGAAAAACTAAGAGCTCTGGAGCATGGTAATCTTTAGAAGGTCAGAATCATTACTCAAAATGATACTGTCCTTGGCATTTTGGGAAGACATAGAAAGAGTGGAGAGTGATCCTACTTTGTTGCCCCTCTGTTTGACATTCTCCAGGTGGCAGGGGATACTCTTCTCAGGAAAAGGTTTTTTTGTTTAACTTGGCTGAGCTGTGGAAATAATGATATGCCCTTTAGATCAGGCTGGAATAAGAACTAGTAAACATCTTAGTTATAGAAGACTGAGATAAGCAGCAATATAATTTGAAGTTTTCTGACTTCTTGTGAATCAGAGATTGTTTATCCTGGTAGACTTATATAAATATTGAATAATTATGTTGCAACTCAAAAACCACTATTTGCCAACAAATATCACAGAGTGGTACTCACAGTAGTAGTCATTTTCAGTCTAAGTGTTGAATGCAGGAAGGCTGTGTAAGACCAGTTAAAATTGAGTGGTAACACTGACAAATGTTGATTCTTCAAATGGCAGATGCTGTTGTAACACCATTGGGTTTATGCTCATTTTATCCGTGAAAAGCACAAAACAAATTATGTTTAAAGAACATAAAAGGACATAAAGAATAAATATGGATTACTGTTTCCTATTGAACATTTCCATTTGCCATTTTGTCAATGTGAAATATGATTGTTTTTCATTTACCTAACTTGGCAGGCTGCAGATTTTTAGGGCATACTGCAAAAAGTGTCTTCCAGGAGGGCACGTGCAGTATTAGGTTTGGGAGATGCAGTGTTGTGATACTAATGTCCTTCTGCCTGTGTGTGATATTTCATTTCTTAAAACAGCAAATAAAGCAAATGAGTGTAAGTTCTGGGGAAACATTTTACGCGTTACCAAGGTTACATTTTGAAATGCTTTCCATTGATTCTTTTACCTGATTTATTGAACTTGATGGTGAGCTAAGGTGCTTGGACTTGCTTTTTATTTAAAATTAAGGGCAGTGAAAGTGATTCCTGCCTTTTCAAAATAGCTGGGGGAGATGTGGGTTGTTGATGTATTAGTAAGAGCATTAGTACTTATGTTTCACTTATGAAACAAGGGGAAAACCCTTGAAGTGGTGTTAGCTCTTGTGTGTCGCCACACTTCCTAAATTGTTGGGCAGGTAGCATTTAATTTTTGCTTCATTTACTGTGGGGATAATATTAATGGTAGCTTTTAAGAATGATGCTAATATTCATATGTGGCTTGGAATGAGACTACTGCATGGTGGGTTGGGATGCTTTACAGGTCTGGAGATTAATCTGGCTGTACACTCATATTTTTATTCCTTGGTACACGTGACCAGTAAATCCAGAGCCCTGGACCAATCTCTAGTGCTAATGGATTATGAAGCCTTGTATTTTGAAAATGGAATTTCCTGATGCTTATGTGGTAAACACAAACAAGAACACAAGGTCACTTGGACTGAGCATGCTTGGCCTGACAGCTGCTTTTTATTGCACTAATATAAGGGCTAAATTGAGAAATAATTAGTAAATGCAAAATGGAAAAAGGTGCTGTTAACCAGTTCTTGCCCAGAAATTCTGGTGAGAATAGCATGTGGTTCAACCCTGATTGGTTTGGTACAGGTGGTGAGAAAACCCAGGAGGTTTCTGTTTCCCACTCAGCCCTGTGCCCATCATGTGCTTGGCTCTGGAACTGAGAGGAGTCTTGACAGCTTTTGTAGAAGACAGAGGTCAAGCAGAAGGGAGGAAAAATGCAGGATGTTTGGCTCAACCTCATTACTTTGTTAATGACACACTGCTTAAGCATCATTAGGATTTTTTCTTTAGGAGAGTTGGTTAAGAGTTTGATTTATTTTCTGTTGAACCCTTGAGGATGGGTGGGATGATGTGAGCTCCCAAGGGCCATATGAGAATTTGCCTGTTTGGGTGACACAGGATGGTTTTCTGAGAGATCAGAGTACTTGATCTCTAGCTGTGGGAACTATCACAAAGAAATGAGACCTTGAAACGGGCCCAGAGGTGAAGTATTGTTGAAATAAGCTGGTGAACCACACACATATCTCTGCAAACTGAAGTCTTCCCCTGCTCCTCAGTGCCATCTGCCCCTCCAGCACACTTCCTCTGAGTCCTCATACCCTCAGCTCCCAGCTCCCCACTGAGCTGATCTTTCCTGCAATGCTCTGTAGTAAACAACAGCTGTGATGAGATTCCAGGTGGCCTCCAAGTTTGTTTGTCACGAGTGCTCTGCTGTTCCTATCACACCAAACCCACGGGTTTATTTACACACCCAAGGCATTCTCCTCTGCGTCTACAACTTGAGCAGTAGCATAAGCCAGGACCAAGACAGAGTAAGGAAGAGAGGCAGGGCACCTATTTGTATATTTGATGGTTTATAAGTGGTCTGGAGGTCATCGTTCAACAGTAGATTGACTTCCCCAGAACAAGTACACGTCCTGGGATTACCTGACTGGAGATCTGAATGTTAGAGATTTCCCACGTTCATTTCTGCTGTCTGTTCTTTCACCTTCCCAGTCTGATCTGTTGCTCTGTCCTCATTACAGAACAGTAGGTTCAGCTGTTGTGGTTGGTCTTATAGATGAACATGGAGCAAAATGGAAAGAAATGGATAAAAATCAATAGTTGTAAGTGTTGAGTGATCTGTGAGGAGGCTCAGAAAAAGCCAACAACACTCAGGCACCTGGCTGGCCTGAGCTCTCTCACCTTTCAGTGGGAAATTTGAGAGTGAGTATCTTTAATCCAAGTGATCTCCTGGTGCAAAGGAAAAGTCTCCTTTCTAAGCAAAACCAATAATATTGAACTACAGAACTTCATGGTTTAGATAAGATAAACTTTAGTAAGTGATTGTAGACTGCACACTGAAGCTTATTCTGTGAATTCAAGATTTTCATGGATAATTGAACTTCCAAAGGGCAGTTTAGTTTCTCCAGGAGCTGGAAAAGCCGTTCTGTGCATAACTACATCATCTGCAGGTGATGGAGGACTAGAGAGACTAAATGGGCTGAGGTCTGATGCAACCCCCGTCAAATGTGCAGACTCAGGTGATTTCCCAGGATAGTTTTTAAAGTCCTGTAGCTCTGGGTTCCCCCATAAGTATTTCTGAACTTCAGAATGAATTGATAAAAGGGATATGCAAACCAGCTTACAGAAGGTTCTTTCCTTTAGAATAGAGAGCATAAAAGTGTATCAGTATACTGGGAAAAATTGCTGAAGTGACACATAAAGACCTTTATGTTACAAATGAATGTGTTTTTACATGTGTGGCTATATGAGTTACAATTCTGATGTTATTTTTAGTTACTAATTTTTTTTTAAGGATAAACAGAATCACTGACAGTGCGCATTAGTTTTCTTCCCAGGCAATAAATCATCAGTTTATGTACACAAATGTTCTTGAATTCTCAAAAGCTTTCCAGACCTGCAGATTTATTTATTATCCAAGTACATTTTGTTGTGGTTCCCTTTCTAGAGGTGTAATTCTGCTTTTGTAATGAGAAATAGTTGCAGGGTCTGTGAAATATTCATTTGAAGGCCTACAGTGATAAGGTGAGGAGCAGCAGACTTTTCTGACAAGTAAAAAATAATTAATTGTTTTACAATATTTATGTCAGGAAAAAAGTTTTAAATACTTTTAAAATAGTGCCATTGTCACTGGGTTGCCACATATGGATACCAGCAGTATGTAAAAATATTTTCTCTTAAGAATATTTGCTTGTGAGTTTATCTAACTCTGTATAATATTTTCCATGTCAGCTAGTGTACACACATTTAATTATTCCTGTGTATCCTGAGTGCAACCACTGGCTTTAGAAAATCCTTATACCTGTGTTCCAGAGATTGCCAAATTGCAGCAGTGTCCCCTGCAGTTTTCAAGGATATCATTCTTTCACTTATTCATGAACCAGATGTGTTTTCACTTTTAAAAGAGAGAAAAATACGCTGTTTTGAGCAACAGGGCCAATATTTCTATAGTTTAGTTCCTTTCCATAGGCAATCATTTTTGTTTAATCTACAAGACTTCAGGACCTTTTTCCCATCTGGTCTGTCCCTTCAGATCAATAGCACGTTTTGTGCCAGTAAAACTATTGTCTGGGGGTGGGTTTGTTTGCTTTGGTTTTTTAATTTTGGAAATAAAAGCACTTATGATGGCAAATATTGCTCCATCTGCTTCCCCATTTGTGAGGAATTGCTTTTTTTGTGTTTCACTGTACACCCAGTTGGAATTGCATGAGGCACCAGAGAACAGAGCAGAGGAGCTCAGCCCTACATGCTCCCCCATGCCACTTGCCAAAGGAGATTTGGGTA